TCCATTCAAACCCAGGTTTAAATCCTTGCATGGCAGCATAAAGCCCACTGCCAACATTAAGACAGAAAAAAGAAAGAATTTGTGGGTCAGGGGCTGAAAAGTTTGAGAATCTTTAGCTTAGACGAAAAATAAAATTTTGTCTCATGAGAAGAAATTTGTCACAATAACTATAAATGATTAGATTAATGCCCACTTCTAGCTCCTCCTCCTCCTCCTTCACCTTATAGAGTCAGCAGTAACAGCGCTAATTGTAGGCAAGAAAGGAGCTGTGCTGCTTCTGGAGAGCCTTTATCTTCCTGGATGTCTTAATGAAACAGAATCTCACATGAATGATACTAATCATCAGAACCATTTACCATTTGTTGGTCCCTCTGTTCAACCAATGTTTGCATACATCTCCCTGTAACATGAATCATCTTCGGGTAAATTTACAATATAAACCAGTATAATTGTATTTTTCAACTAAATCAGATTTTTCCACACAATGAAGTTAGACATTGCAATGAAAAAAATAAATAAAAAAAAACACCCAGCTTTGTGCCGAGCACCAATTTGTCATTCCTAAAGTTGTTTCTTTATCTGCAGCTGGACTCCGGTTCTGCCTCCCTGCAGCCTATAGCAGACCTCAGCCTGGCGCCACCCGCCGACACTCCAGAGGCAGCTTTCGACTTGATCGCCGCCTCAAACCTCCTGCCTGCAGCTACGCTGGAGCTGAACTCCACTCCTGATCCAGACAGCGAGGAGCCAGCAGAACAGGAAGATGTTCAGGACAATCAACTGGACGCACACATGGACCAGGAGGAGGAGGAGGAGAAGAAGCAGGAAGAAGAGGAGGAGATTCCTCTGAATGATGTACAGTTTAATACAAATTAATCAGAGGCTGCATTTATTATTAGTAGATACACTGAAACAGACCACAAGGGCCCAGTTCAGGTTCCTACAGGGGATTTTAATGTCGTCCCTTTAGATGAGAAGGTTGACCGTCTGAGGATGCCGACTGTTGCGGGAAGTCTGTACAGGTTATTTCCTGCTGCCCGCCTCAGTGCAAATTGTTCAGGTTGTTACGCGTCGCTAAAAAGTCCCCATTAGGAGCCACTGAGGGAAAATGATTCAATGTGAATTTCTGTCAAATGAATTTAGTTTAATTTGAGTGAATATGCTGCGTCAGTGTTTCATAACGAAGCAGCACGGCGTTCCTTCAAACAAAACATTTCGTTTTTTATTTATTTATTTTTTTGCATTGAAAATAACTTCTCAGAATTTTGCACGATGAATGCTTCAATTCATAGTAGGTCTCTAAAATATTAAATGATTGAAAAGGCTCATATCCAACATGTAGCCTCGAGATCTTTCCCATTCTTGGGCCCAGTATCGCCAGGAGCTTTGTTGGTTTGCATGTTTTTTCTTGCTCAGGATGGTTCCTAACACCTGAACCATCTGATCGGTATGTCTGATCAGATAAACTTTCTAAGATACGCTTTTTTTTGTGTGAAAAAGTGTCCGCCAAAATGCACAAAACACGCCAATGGGCATAAAACACTTTACAGATTAAAAAAAAAAATGATTAAACAAATGGGCACAAAACTGATAGAAAGAAGGAAAAAAAAGATTAGAGAAACTTAACAACTGTGAAATATAAACATATGCAGAGACTTCAAAATTAGGTGTTATATTACTACGCATATTGCACTAGTAATATAGTCTCACTCTTCTGTTCATATAAAATCTTTTTTTTTTGTTTGCTGCTGTATTTCAGAACATTTTTTTTGTTTCATTTATATGTACATTTTATGATTTAATTTTAAATTGTGCAGATATTTATATAGTTTCTATTTTTATTTGGAGCCTTCAGCAAAAATATATATCAAACTTACAGCTGAATAACTATAAAGTCAATCTAAGTCTTGAAAATTCAGCTGAAAAGTGCATTGTTGGCATTATTAGTCTCCAGAAGACCTTACAGGTTGGAGCTTTAGGATGGGCTCTCCTGATTGCTTCAGGTAGTTCTGCCATGTGGGAATTAGAATACCGGTATGTGGGACCCCAGAATTGGGCCCTGTGGTACTCCATAGTTTGAGTCAATATTCAGTGTTGATAACTTCAGTGTAAAGAGCCTTGCATAAATGCATGCCCTCACTTTTTAGAAGTCACTTGAATTAATCTGCAGCCTCCAGCTTTGTGTAGAAAAAGTCTTTTCTTTCAACGCTTCAGGAGGTGACGGCCCACGTGGAGGTGGAGGAGAGCAGCCCCGTTAAGACGCCAGCAGAGATCCCACCTCCGGTTCCAACTCCTGCAGGAGGAGTCAGTCTCAGTGTCAGCCAAGGTACCACCACTATTATGGAGGTTTTTCTATCTAATCCATCATTTCTATGCTGGAGTCACTTTTAAAATACTAATAAAAATACTTTCATTTTTCTCTTTACAAGATGTGGACGGGCTGATCACCCAAGCTCTGCTGACTGGAGACTTCGAAGGCGCTGTGGAGCTCTGTCTCCATGACAACCGGATGGCAGACAGCATCATCCTGGCGATCGCCGGAGGAGCCGACCTCTTGGAGAAAACCCAGAGGAAGTATTTCAACAAAGCCAACAGCAAGATCACCAAGGTGACTTCTAAAGGAACAAACCGTGTCTGTCAGAGTTCCCATAACAAAGAGCGCTTATGATTTATGATGGAAGTGTGCGTCTGTCCTGCAGCTGATCAGTGCCGTGGTCATGAGGGACTGGCACGACATCCTGAGGACGTGTAACCTGCAGAACTGGAGGGAGGCTCTGGCTGCGGTGATGACCTATGCTCAGCCTGAGGAGTTCTCTTCCCTATGCGGTCAGTACCTTGCTTGTGTTCTGTTCTGTCTCTCAGCGACCATCTAACGCCCTTTTCCGCTTCTGTTCGTTAGACCTTCTGGGCAGCAGACTGGAGGCATCAGAGGACACCCAGCTTCAGTCTCAGGCCTGTCTGTGCTACATATGTGCGGGTAACGTGGAGAAGCTGGTGTCCTGCTGGAGCAGAGCCCAGGAGGGGCAGTGCCCTCTCTCCCTGCAGGTTTGCTTTCCTCCTGACATCAGCAATCTCTCTTATCTTTGTAACAATCTGACAAATCTCACTCCACTATATTTAACTTTTTTTTTTTTTTTTTTTTTTAACCACAGCTGAAACTTTCTTATATGTTCCAGGATTGAAATGAATCAACTCACACTATAGTGGGTTGATGAGGAAAATAAGTTAGTTTTCACTAACTGTCCTTTTTATAAAGGACACTGTCGTCACAATTCTTCCGGGGGCTTGTAAATCATTTTGGTTCTGCTTTAATTAAAAATAATCAGGTTGTGTTCAATACGGGCACCTAGTTAGAGGTAATAATGATAATAATAAAAGGAAAAAAATAATTATAATACTAGATAATATTTGTTGAGCACATGGGTATCCTCTAAGTGCGACGTACAAAAGTAAACATTTAAAAAATTGTAAAAATAACCAATGTTGGTTTAAAAAAAGCAGATATTTGTGTGCCAGTTTATAACTGAGTCTTTAGGCTCATTATACTCAGTTTGATTTATACTCAGGAACCAGGTTGTCTGCGTGTGTCGCAGTTAACGCAGATATGCCCCCGCCCCTTCCGCAGACACTCTGCTGCACCTCTCTGTAATTGTAGGTGTCCGCAGTCCGGAGGCCTCTGATTGGTACATCTACTCTACACTGTGCATATTTCCTGTTTCGTACCTTACCGGCTTGTTATGTGCGAGAACGCTGGGCCCTTTCTTCTACTTGGATACCCGCTCTTTTTCACCCTCATGCCCCTCCAAACTTGCCCCCACTTCCCCACAGCCTCGGCCCTATCTAGACCCACAGCTACTTCCTGATTGTCCCTCTTGGTTGTGGCGAGGAATAACATAGCGCAGACCATGCTTCAATATTGGGCATAAATCAAAAAATATCTGCAACAAGCTCACTGCGACTCACTGCTGCGAGAGGATAACCAGCCCTTAAAGGAATAATACACCCAAAACATGATTAGCCTTCATTTTCTACTCACCCCCATGCTGAACAACACTCTGGAGTACTTTTTTGATATCTCAAATGCATCTGGAGATCTGGGAGGCTTCTTGCTGTCTGCTGACATTCAAATAATGGAGGTCTATGGCGCCCGAGACAGAAAGGTCCATAAAAGTCCACAAAAAACGTGCAATATTCCTCCATACTGCTCGTCCAATGTATTCCAAGTGTCCTGAGTGGGTAGCATCCAGAATTTACTCGAAACGAAGTCATTTAGAATGTTTTTAGAGCATAAACAGTAGTGTATAGGATTTCCTAAAAGCGCGTTCATGAGTCTACGGAAGCCGGCAGACCAAACCAGACGAAAGTGCGCATTCAGCGTCTGCTCTGCCAATAATGCAAGCGTAGAAGAAGAAATGTGAACGAAAGAAACAACAAAAGAAAAATGTCTGAGGACTTCAGCGTTGAGGAATAGCATGAGTTCTTTGCCGAGCTGAATGCGCACTTTCATCTGGTTTGGTCTGCCGCGGTTTCCGTAGACTCGTGAACTCGCTTTTAGGAAATCCTATACACTACTGTTTATGCTCTAAAAACATTCTAAATGACTTTGTTTCGAGTAAATTCTGGACGCTACCCACTCAGGACACTTGGAATACATTGGACGAGCAGTATGGAGGAATATTGACACGTTTTTTGTGGACTTTTATGGACCTTTCTGTCTCGGGCACCATAGACCTCCATTATTTGAATGTCAGCAGACAGCAAGAAGCCTCCCAGATCTCCAGATGCATTTGAGATATCAAAAAAGTACTCCAGAGTGTTGTTCAGCATGGGGGTGAGTAGAAAATGAAGGCTAATCATGTTTTGGGTGTACTATTCCTTTAAAGAAGTAGTTTTAAAAAATCCTTTTTTTTTCCGCCTGACAATATTTTTTTTTATTTTTAAAAACTAAATGGCTTACAGTGTTTTCACGGCATCTTATTTGAATAAAAGATAAATATTTCTCAAATAACGTAGAGAAATTGTTACAACCAATCATTGATCCCTTTAAATTGGCTGGTTATAGTGTCCAGTTTGTGCTGTGAATGAAGGGGGGAAATAAGGAGACAAAGAATTAGGATACAAGCACTACAGATCTAATAATATATGTTCATTTTAAGGCCAATGCCAATAATTCATTTTGATATCAGTCTAACGATCACCGACGATTTGGGCTGATTTTTGGAGTCGATACTGATTTTCTTCAACAAATCAAACAACACATTAACAATGGAAGGCAAATGAAGGGAACAGCAATAATGTGCTGCACATGATTTCAAGGCATGGCTGCTGAATGCGTTTAATAATCGATTCACATATCGGCCAATGCAGATACAAGAAGAGTAAAATAATAATGTCTGACTGATGTATTGTCTATCTCTAATGGTGCTGTAGGGAACCCTAAATGGATAAATCACACAACGTTTGTTTTTCACTGTCCTGAAAAAGTTCCTGAGTGTGTCAATAGAAGGAGTTTAACAAAGTTTGACACGTTGAAACCCTCCAACTGACTTAAAAAAAAAAAAAAAATGTTCAGCTTTAATTGTCATTACGCCATTGTGCGGCGCCCGGGGAGCAGTGAGGGGTTGAGGGTCTTACTCAGATAGCCCTAGTGGCAGTCTGTGGGACTGCGGCTCGAACTCAGAACCTCTGAATTTCAAGCTGTGTGCCCTAACCACTAGGCCGCCACTCCCCCTAAATTTGCCCTCTGATCCAAAATGGCTGCCTTCCTGTTGGTTTTAGGGTGCACCTCCAAAAGACTTTCAAACTGTGTACTAAATGTTAGCGATCTGGTTATACCAGTTGGCCCTGCTGAGTCTGGGGGCGCTGTGGAGCTGCCCGTTTTAAAATCGATTGAATATTTTCTGCATCGTTTGAGTTTTTGATTTTGCCTTGAATTTCAGCTAACTATAAAATCAATCCTTTAATGTAAGGATGCCTTCGGTGTAACAGCAGCATATCATTAAGATTATAAACAGCTCTCAAACAGCAGCTAATCTTTGTTATCAGCGTTTATCAAAGACTGAAAAATTCATAGAAACCAGTGTTCAGATAGAAACAGAGCATTGCGTGTATCAGGTTCTTTGACATATTTTGGTTTCTGTGTCTCAGGACCTGGTGGAGAAGGTGGTGGTGCTGCGTCGAGCTGTGGAGCTGACCCAGCGCTCAGGTCCCGCCGCCATCGGCGTCCTGCTGGCTGAGAAGATGAGTCAGTACGCCAGCCTGCTGGCCTCTCAGGGCAGCCTGTCCACCGCCATCACATACCTGCCCGACAACACCAACCAGGTGTGTAACTCATTCTAGAAAGCAGCTGCAGGTGGGATTATAATTCAGTTAAATCTAATTCTAACTCCATCCATCCAGGCTGCCGTGCAGCAGCTGCGTGATCGTCTCAGTCGGGCTCTGGGGCACCAAGCGGCTCCAGCACAAACTCACAGAGCTGCCTCTCAGCTGCCCAGCCGTCCAGCTCAGCACGGCTCAGCCCCTCCCCAGCCTCCGTTCTCCCAGGTCCGGCCGGCGATGGTCCCTCAACCTGCTGCAGGAGCGCCGGCGCCTACAGCTCCCTCTGCCCCACCTCAGCCACAGTATTACCAGCCGGTACGTTTCACTGCATCATCATCTGACCAACCAATAGACCAAATTCAATTAACAAATGATTGAGAAGTTGATGGAACACAGTGCATGTTTTTTTAATATATTCTTTACAAACAAAGATCCTGATGGTGCATACTGATACAAAATGCAATCCGGAGCAGATATTTGTTCAGTACAATCAACATGCGTGTGATTTTGTCTCAGTATAAATCCCACTGGACGCAGAAAAGGCAAAATGGAGGTGGTATGATGCTGTGGGTTGGCTCCGTTCTAGGCGAGCTTTGAGGTTGAGAGAATGTGAAGCGGTTTGATTGGTGTAGGGGACATTTTCCAACACCACAGCTTTATTTTTCACATCACTGGTGTTTCTGTGAATCACATTTCAAAGGCAAGGCTAATGCATTGGATTCTGCACAATTTTAGAGGGTAAAGATATTTATTTTTTATATTCATAAATCTAAAAGTATATTAAAAAATCAACTTCCTCTCACTGCTATCTACTGACTGCTCAGAGGGTCTCCATGTAACCCCAGTTTAAAAAGCGACCCCTCCCTTTATCTGGTCTTCACGGTGGTGTTACTGTGGTGTGTCCCCCTCTTCCTCCCTCCCATGCCGTGGCCATCACTCCTCTGTGGCATCACCCTGTGTCTCTGTTTGCTTCAGGTGAGGGCTGCCTCCACTGTCACCTCCTGGAGTAACCAAACTCCCACAGCCCTCCCAAATGTCCCTCCTCATGTAGGCAGCGCCCCCGACCAGCAGGTATACAAACTTCCATTCCTGCCCTGACACACATCTCACAGCAAATGGTTACAAATAAAAAAAACAAAGTGCTTTGATTTTTCAGACCCATGCTCCATGTCCAAAATGTCCCTTTCTGTTGCCATCCAGCCACTTCCTGTCCGATGTTTCCTCTTTCTCCTCAGGCTGTGATTCTTTCTGTTTTTGCTTTGGTTGGATGATTGCATTGCTTTTCATAACTTGCCTCTAAATGTAATAAACCCAAACTGACAGCTGATTGAATCGTATGGAAGCCAGTTTCAGATTAAATTCTTTTCTCCCTCTTTCTTTGTTATTAAAATGCCTTCTCCTTCCTCAGGCGGAGCCTCCAAACCCCATGTACGGCCTGCCGGCCTCCAGCACACCCGCGGCCCCTCTGACCTCTTCCACTCCTGCCTACATGTACTCCCACCAGTACCAGCGTAAGTGGGCCTTGGAGAGGCTGTTGGGCCTCATGAAGAAAAATCAGACATTATTGACGATTTATTCATATAAAAATGGCTAAAAAGTGAAATTAGTCTGAAATATGTTATAGAAACCGTATGGACGACTCCCGGGATGCTCAAATACTCAGATCAGGCGTAACATTATGACCAGCATCTGTTTCTATTCAGATTTAGCTGCTTATATGATACATTTTTGCATCACTGGGCGTTCTTAAAGCTCTATGGGTGAAACATTAAGCCTCAGCTGCCTTTTTTGTCTCAGTCAAACCAGCTGAAATCCTAACGCTAGCCCATTTTCCATGTTTCCAACTCGTTGGCTTTAATGAATAAAACCTGCCTTCATAACCAAACCGCCACAATAATAACTGGCGATATTCACTTCATCCATCAGTTATAATGTTTTGCCTGATCAGTGCATGGTTTGTATTCTGGTGAATTAAAGTGTTAGGATTTATTTTTTTACCCACAGATTTCCAGATTTCTCATTGAGATGTTTTGGTTACAATGAAAATGAGTTACAGTACAGAACCAACCCGTTTAAGCTTTAAGAACGCCAATGTCTTAAAATGTGACGACTAAATATCGTTCCAACGCATTAAAGTCCAGATTTACTGGAGTTTTCCCTAAATTCTCGTTGCATTGAGTAATTCGGCTCCGTTACTCTCCCACCTATTGCTGCACACTGCTGGCCAGATGGCTTTAAGGGGGAGAAGAAAGACTACACATTTCCTAAGTGTCTGTAAAACCAATGCTAGCTAGCTACCTCTATTTCTGTTTATCACAGCATTATGTTATCAGATTGTAGGTTATTTCACGATATAAACACCTCTACTTTTTTATTTTCTTAACCCTTTATATGGCACTCAGTGCAATACTCCAAATTTCTAGCCAGTAATGTTATTGGTATCCAGGACTAGACCTTATTACCTTTGTAACATTCAAAAAATCTGGATGTTTTGATGGCATAAATGAATGTCAATGTAATAACAAGAAACACCACCTTGCCTGAATATATAAAGAAAATTAACCAAAGTGCTTCTATAAGAAATTCATGAAAAACACTCTGAGATTAAAAGAAACACATTTTTTTTGGTCAAACATAACCTTAGAGGCTTTAATGCTGATAGTAGCTCTTACATTTTTTAGTTTATAAACCTAAATATAATTGTTAACTAGGCTTATTAACTTTTTACTTTACTTTTTAATTACCTTTTTTTCTTGACTTGTTAACTTTTTTCTAATTGATTTACAGTAGGTAGTATATCATTCAAGGGTTCATCTAATTGGTCAAATGCCAAAATAAGATGTACAGCCATGTAGCAACATCTTCGCTGAATGGCTGGATATAGACCTTGTGCATCTAGACCTCACTGAGGGACGGGTTTGGGGGTTCTCCATATTTAAGGGGTATGCAGGTGATCAAAAATGCTAACTTGCGTTATAAATGGTTAACATTTGCACAAGAATTGGCTGGAAGCTGTTTGAGAATTATTAGTTTAATGTTATTGAACTCTGTGTGGAATGACGAAACACTTTGCCTGCAAACATTTCTCCGTGGAAATGTTTGGTTCTGTCGTTTATCTTCTTGAATGACATTCTTTGTATTTAACTCCTCCATGGCAGAGCATGCAGTGGAACATTCCTGTTGCATTTTACAGCTGTTTTGTTTTGTTAACCTGCTGCAGTTTGTCACTAACAGAAGCTCCTATGTGCTTCCCAGCCTACCCCCAGGTCAACCAGTACCCGCCTGGAGCTGGGGGGGCTCCTATCTATCAGCCTCTTCAGTTTTCTTCCACTGCTCCTCCTCAAGGTCCTGCTGAGCCAAACTCTCCTCCTCATCCTCCCGGCTTCCTCTCTCAGTACACACAACCCGTCCCGTCTCAGCAGGCGCCTCCTCTTTATCCAGGACAGCCTCCTGCCAGCCAGGGCCTGTCTTCGTCTCCTCCCTCTCACCCTCCTTTCTTTCCCACTTCCTCTTCCTTCTCCGCTCCTCCGTCCTCCGGAGCGTCTTTCCAGCATGGCGGGCCAGGATCTCCTGTGTCGTACATGCCTCCTCCTCTCCAACCTCCATCAGGCGGAGCCTCAGGTACACAGAGAGACAGCGAGCTGATCGCCGCCTCTCAGAGAACAGGTCTGCATGGCTCTGATCATCCTCACTGTCACTGTCCTGCTAACCACCTCACTCAGCCTCACAGGGAGAAAACCTCATGAGTCGATCATAGCTGGAATCATCCTTAGACAGCGAGAAAATTCACCTTTTACTATTTATAATCATTCATATAAAACAGCAGCACATTCTGCTCCCCTTATCAGAGCAATATAAAGATATTCTTTTATTGTTAGTAATCAAACATTTCCTTTTTTTATATATTTGAATCTAAAACTGCAGTAAACTATGAGATTAATGACAATGATTAAAACTTTAATTATCCCTAAAATGTAGAAGCAGAAGATACTTAAAAAGAAACCTACATCTGATATATTATAACATTAAATGTATTCATATAAAGCTATTTAAACATATCTATACTAGAGCTGTTAGGTATAGATACAAAAAAGTATCATGATATAACCCTTTCATATCAGTCAATTATTGTTTTATTTACTTTTAAAAAAGTTTAAAAGTCAATCAGGCCCTCTACTAACAGTTTAGCCTAGAGATGTTGAGAGGCTGAATCCTTTAATCTGCCTTAGTCCCCCAGAATAACGTAGTTCAGTGGGATTACGTACAATTTTTAGTTATTATTGAGCAAGTGTCTTTTACAAAAGAGTATAATCTTGATTTTTAGCTGCCCCTAACTTGTATTTTTTTCTGCAAGAGTAGATAAAAACCATCTGACCTTTTTTTGTCTTGTTCCTAAAAATAGAAATGAGCAAATTTAGGTGATAATCTACTTTATTTCCTCTTTATTCCCAAACTTTTCTACAGATACTCAGATGGGATGATCTTTTGTCTTTCCCATTTTAAAAGCAAAATAGTCTACAGAGTCTGCATTTATACATCAGAAACACAGAAAAAAACTTACTAGTTGTTTTTATCTATAAACAATATGTTTAATTTCTAAATAATTTGAATAAAAAGGGGTGAAAATCATATTATTTTTAGAATAATTACTTCTTAAAGTAACACTGTGACTTTAAGCCACCAGAGACATTTAGGAGAGACATCGATGCTAACTCACTGATTGGCTGAGAGCAAAGAGGGCGGACAGTAAATGAAATGGAAATTGAATCACTTCTAATCATATGATGTTAATTTGCATGACTTTCTGTCACTAATGATTTGAAATTAAATATCTTATAAAGACTATTCTAGAAATCATCTCCTTAACTAGAACTTGATCTGACAAAGAAATCAAGCTTCAGTCTGCAATTTAATTTACTTTAAGCTGGTGGAGATCTGATCATTTGATAATATGCTGACTGTAAAATTATTAATCATGCTTCTCAGTTCAAAAGTCTTAGATTATATGAAAGATTCTGTATTTATGTTTCAGAAGTTATTTTTTTATTCTGTATTTTTTTGGCTAAATTAAAAAAAATAAGAGTGTATATTGTAGTTGTTTATAAATGATTCGGAGATGTTCAGAAGCAGAAACCAGCAGCTGAGGAGTGTTTTTCTCTGTAGGACCTCAGAACGGTTGGAACGACCCTCCAGCTCTGACCCGAGCACCAAAGAAGAAGGTAAACCTGCATTCATGACTTACAATAGGAGAATGCAATCTCTACTAAAACAAGAAAGGGTTTACTATTTTTAGGAACTATTACTGTTTTTGCAGATTTTCCTACTTTTTAGGAAAATCGGCAAAGCTAAACACTGTTTTTTCCCCGGTTAGGAGAGCAATGATCCTGGAAAGGCAGGTTTATTTCTACAGCACCTTTCATGTAGAGAGAAAAGATAAGAAAAGTATGTTGTTGTAGCATTATAATCTCAGGTAAAGAAACATTGGAGCAGATGCTAAAATGAAAGATGTTTTAGTTAAAGGTACAGTGGAGGATGTTCTTTTTCCGGTTCGATCATTAAAATAAATGGCCGTCCTACATGCTAATCTCCATTTTCACTTACTGGTGGTGAGTCTGACCTAGTGGAAAAATTAAAAATGTTCTTATGGAAATTAAGCTTGTATGCACGATTTAAAAACAGCAACTTTTAAACAGAGCATGCACCAGATGAAATGGGCTTGTTTATGATCTCAAACGCGTTTAATAGGCGTTCCCTCTCGGGAGCAGGTACAGGGTTCTGCATCTGCATTTCTTTTTAAAGGAATAGTACACCCAAAACATGATTAGCCTTCATTTTCTACTCACCCCCATGCTGAACAACACTCTGGAGTACTTTTTTG